TCTCGAAACTCGATAATGAATATCATAGTGGCTTACATTATCTATCTTCTATTAGATGTTGCATTAAATGTTTGTGGTAATGTGTCCGCCAGATGGCGGTGACGTCGCGCGCGGCTTTCTCATGTGAAAGTTTGTTCTGCATTGCACGACGCGATCTCTGAGCTCTGCTGTGCTGTATGATTATTACAAATGAAAATATAATTTAGATAACTAATGAAGAGCAACGATAACGATTATTCATTGAATATTAATCACAAAGAAGAATATTTTAAATTATAATAACTCCCATAAGTATTAGATTGGCACAGGACAGGAAAGAGTTCGCTGAGCTGACGGCCAACCTCCAGTAATGGAGAGACATTAGAAGAAGTAGAATTATTACATTACGTAATTTTTTATAAGAGAAGGGGGCAAACGAGCAGGGGAACACCGAGGTGTTCATCGACGCTTATGGACCAGACCAGAGGAACATCCGATGAGTTGCCGATCATTGAGCGTAATAATTTATACAATAAACGTTTATTCCTGGACTTCTGCTGCAGGACCCTTCAATGTCATGTCTTTTTCCTTATCCCACTCCCGGTAGGATCAACGCACCAGGATCTCGTTCTCCATATTTATCTATCTTACGTAATTTTATTCGTCTCCCTTGCTTTCACGAATCCATCCATATCATGTTTTATTTTAAAAAATTCTAACATAGCATTCCCACATCAAGTAGTTCAAATAAATAAAACTTTACACTTGCGACATTTTATATATAAATTTTAATTACTCGCTCGATAAGAAGTAAGACTGAAGTCACTGAAAAAGTACTGAAGTTTTCCAGCTTCAGTATCGCACATATTGCACGTAATATGAACTTTATGCTGTCGTAATAAGGAGTAGAATGTTTATGTGTATGTCTGCAGGTGAGCACCTCGTGGGAACTCTCGACTTGTCTCAACTTGTATGGCACTTGAGCGGGACTTAATTACTGCTATTTAGGGTCCCAGTGATGTACTCAACATTTGAAAGGTTCCTTTCCTTTAATTAATCAACTCGTATGTTAGAAGAAAATTTAGAGCCCCTTCAATGTTTTTGATATTTACGATAATAGTATAAATTAATTTATTATAAAATCGATGAACAAATAACATATTACTTTAAATACAATCTAAAGGCGTTTCTATTAAGTATAGGAAAGTAAGAGTTTTGTTTTACACAAGCTAATCGTTATACCAGTGTACCCTAAGGCTAGTTTAAGTGTTATATTCGAGGAACCACTTAAGTTTGACACATAACAATTATGATGTAAGTAAATGTGTTGTATTAATACATAATGATGAAAAAAAAGCTTAAAATGGTTAACGAGTAATTGTTCGCTAATCGACAATAGGGTCGGATGACGCGCGGTGCGGCGCTGCGACGCTGCCGGCGCTGAGGGAAACCGAGCGGTGCATTGTTAGGTAATGAGAATCGCTGTTTTGTTGTGTTTGAGTGTAAAATGGTGTGTAGTTCATGACCGTCAGAGGTTAACTTATCAAATAACAACAATTACCAGTTTCAGAAAACTATCAATTATTTTACAATTAAGTAATCTCAAGTTAAATGTTTTATGACATAATATGGACTGTTAAGTAATTTTTTTGGGTTTCACTATTTATAACTTTTTATTACGCCTTCAAGAGCTGCTTTTTATTTAACTTATCTTTATATTTTTTTTATAAATCCAGGCGGACGGAGTCGCAGGCGACAGCTAGTAATTTTATGACAATCAAATATTGAAAACCGTTGCTTAACTTAGCAAGTCTACTTGCATCTACGTTTAGACGCTAACTTTTGAAGTGAGTTTAAGTTCGCAATGTTCTTTATAAAGTTACAAGAAGTACATCCCGGAGCGTACTTCATGTTGTAAACATACAAAGAAGGGATTTACTGTTACTTGAACGATTAAATGACCACTTTACAACTGTAACTGGAAATAGTATAGTTCTTGGACGAACTGGTTTGAAACAATTAATTATGACTACAATTAAATTCACTTTTTTTCTATTCAACGTAATTTTCTTAAAGTTTTTTTCAAAGAAATATTATATACTCGTAAATATAGATAATCTTTTTTAACGCATTGTTACAATTCCAAGTATTGGATAAAGGGCATTACTTGTTACAAGAAACTCTACTTTGCTTTATAATATTTACTTTAAATATTTTACGGCAGTTTTTATTACAATTCAATAAGTACTAGCGATGGATTTGTTGTGTACTACAAATGTGAGCCAGCACATCGAGTCGCAATGCAGAGCAGCAATGTATTCATAATTATATTAATCTTAAAATATGTAAACAAACATAATTGTTTTAAAATAACACGCATCCCCCGCGTGCTATTAAATAAATACGCGAGCCTTGGTATGTGAATTCAATCCCCACTTGACGTGTTATTGCATTTGTTAGACGATTCGCATGTTTTTTTATTAATTAAAGTTATTTTAACACTCGTGTATCTGGCTATCGATTGCCGCTCGGGACGCTACTCAGTCTACCCCGAGCTGAGTGAGGGCGTACTATACGCAGCCCTCATCCCTCCACCCCGACCCTCCCCCGCACCCCTCATAGCTGTAGAGGGGGGGGGGGAGGGGACGGAGTTTAGATTGATTCACATGCTGCGGAGTCTGGACGGGTGATATGCAAGAGGGTGAAAGTTTTTCTTTAAGGAATGTTTAGTCTTCTTATTTTGTTGAGCATGACATTTAGGTAAATAAGAATAGACACGAGTCGATCTACTTATGTGGGTATTACTAATGAATATTATAGATATCGCTAAGCAATCTTTAATGTGACCTTATTGCGGTAGCGCTGACTCGCGTGACGTGCCGACATCGAGTTAGGCAACTCTTGCCAAAGTTCAGGTCAGTCAGTAATAGGTATCATATAGCACATTAATTATAATGCTGTTTAATCAAATCCACTACTATTAAGGCGTAGCAGTTTTTTTATAAAGACTAAACAGATTTGTGTGTGTATAATTACGATGCAATGGATACATATTTCAATTTGTAATTTATATCCGACATGTGCAACTATTCGCTCGTTTGTCCCAGCGCCAATAATTTCATTTGTAATTTGTTAATGATGTCTTTGATTAATTTTTTATCAATTAATTAATGTCCATTACATAAACTGTCAAACAACTCTTCCACAAATTACCAATATCATTGTGTTTAGTCGGGTTAAAGTTAGTTTAATCGGGAAGGAAAGGAAAGTTCGGTATAGATCAGCGATCGAACTTGACCTTCGCTGGCACCCTCTTGCAGAACACCGTCCACTTTCCCGCTCGCCGTGGCTGCTGCCCTGCACCAGTCAGTCGGCGTCGCGACTTCCTACTAGATGGTTGTGTGTACTGTACGAGCACGCGATCGTAACTACGACTAGCATGTGATGAACTGCATTTATAAATAAGTGAAGTTAATTTATATCTATGTTACAAGAGTGTTATATTTGTCAATACAAGGTAAATAATAATACGTATCTTAGTTATGAATAGATTGTTGTTGTTGATCGACAAAAATCTTCACTTACCTTTCCTGATGGCATTGTTTGTTATTTATTCTTCACTTGGTTTTATTTGTATCATTTAAATATTAAATTATTTAGTGTAATAAATTAATAACAACGATTTCTTTTACAATGTCAACAATTACTTATACTAGTTGACAATAGCTAAATTATAAAAAATTATATTTAATTATTCCATTAGAGTAAATAATATCCTAAATAATATAAATTAAAATTAATTTCTAATTTTATTTTATTGCATTCTCTTTGGAGATAGTTTTTTTCTTTCGTAGTTTAGTTCCATATATTTTCCAACGAGTCTAAATTATTCCAACAATAACTATGAATGTTAAAAAATAAATTATAAAAAAAGTCCTTTCAGCTATTTCTTAGTTTTAAGTTATAAATAAATTCCCGTAAAGTTTGTTTCAGTTATAGTTAGTTTTACTATGGAGATATGTGTAGGTATACAGCACAGTTTTAGAACACCTGGCCGCAATTATTAAAAACTGCAAAGCAACCATTGCATTAATAGTACAATTAATCATAATATCAAAACAATAATAAAATACTATACACTACTACGCACTCTGTTTGCCTCATTACTAATTTTAGTAATTATTAGTTTGTCTATGGTTTCAGTAAAATGAAGTATTCAACTTTACTAAAACTCTGTAATATTATTCTGCGAAATAAAAATTACGTTTCAAAAGAAGTGCAACAATATTTTCGTTAAGTTAGGATCGAATGTTACTTAATTTTGTTTTATGTCGAAAGATAATTACAAAAAAATTACATTGTTCAGAGTTCACGTGTTTGTGAGGGTGTTCGCGCTTTGATTTTAATTCCCGCTTATCACCAGATGCAAATGAAATTAAATAATAACAAGTTTAACGCGATCACTAATCATGTTACTTTAAATACGAGCTAAATGATTAACACGATAACACTATTTATATTGTATACAAAATTAGTTTTTAACATATGGAAACGCCTTAGTTTTCTACGGACATATTTTATTCGATTTGCAGAAAAAAAAATTATCGCATTTCACGGGAAGTAATCATAATATTTACGATTAAATTTAATCGTTTGTCAAAATGTTAGCGAGTAAATAGTAAGGTATGTTGTAATATTCTGTACAGAGTTACAGTAAGATCCATAGTTCAGTGAGCATTGAACCAAACACAAAAGCGTGCGTGTCTTTATCGTAGCTCCTCATCTCACAGTCTGCAATACAGTTACAACTCTTTGTCGCATAATCTTATAATCTGTCTACAAAACTATTCTTATTTATCGAATTCCTAAACACTAAGAACTTTAGTTGTTATTATATAAGTCATCGCACGACTACATTTTCAATAAATCGCGATGTGATCTTAAAATTTTAACAATCTATTTGAAAATAAAGATTTTGACCGTTATTTTAAATGCAGACATTTCAAAGTTCACTGTATACATTCCAATATATTTGTAAACAGTTTTATTTAAGTTCACTTTATTCATTGTTATATCGGTTTTGATTACATGTATTCGTAAGTTCGTATAGATTATCGCTTTAGCCAACCGATTATAGTTACGAATGTAAGAAGTGATACGTTGTGGCGAAGGCTGTATGAAAATATTAAAATTAATAAATTATTCAAATTCGCTTTTATTCGTCTAACATTTACATAGATGATGAAAAATTATTCTAAAAAGAAAATGAAAGGAAAGTGACCGCTAGAAAGCGTATCAGCAGGCACACGTAGCCATTACCTATCTCAGCTACATCGCGATAAGTCACCGGCGCACGCGCAGCCTCCGACCACATTTCCCCGATAAGCCTTATCACTTCTACTCTTATCGAGTTTTCCACTGTTCCACGTCTTAGTGGCGTCAGTTATGACCTTCAAAGTATTGTTTGCATGATGTAATTTTTTGTTTTACGCAGTAATATAAGTCGTGGAGTCCCCAAAAGATATAACAGTACGTAATAATATTATACATTATAAAATAAAATGTAAATATAGAAAAATGGAAAATATACGAAATGTGCATGTATAAGTACATAAATATAATATAATATGACGTATGGTAATATTAGAATTTCAACACGGTGGCCACTATATTTGAAATTGTTGTAAAATTTACGACTTTGTGCTGTGTGAGGTCCTCTTTGTCTCCAGTGTTAGTCACCGGCGGCGGGGCAGGGCGGTCGGTGGTCGCCATAACTAATGTCAAACTATCGGCTATTGTTTTAAGGAATAATGACTTCATAGGTCACAATACTAAGAGTTACAGCTTTCAATTACATTGTCGATGTGTAACAGTAAGTTATACAAGGCGCAACACTACTGCGTAACCTGACTATTGTTGTGTTAATTAATCTGGATGTAAACAAAAATTATAGATTTTAAAACTCATTCATCACAGATATTATGAACTTGCAAAGAGCCTGGTCTAAATATGCACGTGAATATCTAGTGAATAGAAAAAAAAACAAAGCAACACAAGAGTTGTATGTACGCGAGATTAACATCATTACATCGAGTGTACATCAATGTTTATCAAATGATATAATTGTGATCACTTTGTCAAATGTTTTGAATCTCAGTTAAATTTTCTATCTAACGTATGTAAATATTTATGTTTATATTCTTATTTACATACTTGTTCATATGTTTATGTACAACGTATGAATAAAACATTGTTCGTAAGAAGAAAGTAAAATATAAAACGTGGTTATTAATTCCAGTTGTCGTAGCGTCACTACTCCATATTTTTAAAGCAGTTTCAACTTTTATTTAAATACGAATGTTTATTTCTATGTATTTATAATAACTTCACTTTCCATTGACTTAGTATTTATTATCTATGAAAGCAGCATAACTATTTAGATTAATGAATAGAAATCGTATAATACACCATATTTGATCGTGTTAAAATCTAAATGAATCTATTTAATTTTAACTGTATTAACATCATCATAAAACAGAATACGACACGACGACGTGACATTGTTTAACATGACGTGACATAATGTCCTGCTGAACACGATGCAACGCAACAACGCCTTACTCATTTCAATGTTTTTGTAATTGTGTAGTAATTAAATTTATTTTTATTATAGAGTAAGCAATGAGACAAACACAACAAATTAAAGCCTGAAACCACAAAATTCTCTTTTAGATAAAAATATAATTAAATAATATTATATTTAACCTAATCCGTGTGTAGGTCAGTGAACTCATTGATCGGAATTGTAACATGATGATGATAATTATCGTGTATTGTGTGAATCTCATAACAAAGTCTGTGTCCATCACGCCCACACGCCGGCGCTAGTGTTGCGCACACGCCGGCGCTAGTGTCGCAATCACAACTGTCCATCGATTATTGATATAGAATCGTGAGCCGCGTGCCGAATCGATTCCGCTCACGACCGAGTAACCTTGTTCTAATCTGACGCTGTAGTGCTGCCTTAGCGGAGATAATCGATGTTATATCGATTACTCTTGAAATTAAGAGGTTCGGCAGCTAATTGCTAAATTATTATTTATATGAACCATGATATTATATTTTTCCGTATCCTTGAACTACTCAATTTCGAGTTCTTTAGGAAATAAATCTGATGATCTAAACGAAAGAAGTATTAATAAGATTGTTGATGTTTATTAACATATCGATATGTTGAAATGCGTACACCACTACCGTACCTTTTTCTTTTGTAAGTGTCGCGGCTCATGTTGCGTTAATCGATCAATTAACACGTGAAGCAAATCGCATGCGTTCCATACATTTAATTATAATTACACACATCTATGTATGTCTCAACATAAATGTTGTAACGGCTCTATTACATTTGTTGGTGACGACTGCTTTGTTTTGAAGGGAAAGTTTATATTAATTGCTAATATTATTTAAACTTATTGAACTCCGAAGTTAAATTCTAGATTTGTTTTATATCTGTAATAGTTCGGGATTTATTACTTTCCCCCTTTTACATGTAAAACTGGCTGTTGGCGACCAATGTTATTACTGACACGACCAATATTTATTAAATTTTTCGAATCCTCCTTAGGAATGTCCATTGTTTTATTGTTTCCGGTTTCACAGGCGGAGTGACTGTAATTTATTGCATATATTATCAGTGTAAGTTGTACACGAAACTTATTAAATTTCTCTGTACACTATGAAATTAGTAAATTTTCTGAATTTGTATCTACATCTTTACATTTATAATCATCATATTCTGATCTTATCCTACTCACATGTGATGCGGACCCACAAGCACAAGGTTTTATAAACTTTAATATTTTGCCTTAATTATGACGTGCTCCTACGCGATACTACGCGTGAATTCACCTTGCTGGCAATAATTCATAAAGGCGATTTTTTTATGTTAAAAAACAACCACTACGTCATCAGAGTCACTTTCGTTTTTTTTTGTGAAACGGTTCAACAAACGTCATATCAGAGAAGGAATTTTGTTTCAATTTCACGCTTCAACTTAGTTATTAATATTTCACGTCAATTCTCAATAAGATTTCACTCGCAATTATTCTTGTGATTTTTCGTAATTCACAAATCGTCATCGGAAATCGATTTTCGATAAGTTCTCTTATTGGGAAATTAGAAAAGTTAATGGTAAACGCATTTATTTATTATGTTACAGCGAAATATCTGTCTCTTATAATTCTTTACTTTACCAGTGTTGATTCAGGATCTCAGATTAATGTGGAACAACTAATTAATCAACTTAATTATCACGACGGAATAAATTAATCATAAACACATACAAATTGATGGCATACAGAAAGGTGGCACACAGAACGTAATACTCAACTGTGACATAATGTATTCCTATTCAGTCGTAAACAAATTTTGGATTTTTGTATGTGACAGCAAATTAAATTTTATAATGTCCATATCAAATAAATTATGTGACATATAATTTTATTTCCATTATAAATAGCTTACTTAGCCTATTTTTATTTTACTACAAACTAAGATATTCTATGACTTCTTGTTAGTCATAGTTTTCATCAACCTGCAATATTTCGTACATCGGCAGCTTGGAAAAAGAATTTCAAGACATATTGAGTCAATTTCCGTTCTGGACCGAACTGTTGCAGGCGTCACAATTATCAAATATTTTCTCCTATTATAGACACATAATAGGGGATCAGTGGAGCGCGGCTTATTGCGCCATCTAGCGGCACACACAGTTACCTGCACTCGTCATAAAATAAAAACTCTGCAAACAGTATAGTCATTCTTTCAATGTTGATATATGACCATTACTATTTATATTTTGTAGGTTCTATGTTTTGGATAGTAAAAATCAAACTCAGTAATCGATCATTTAATTTAACTAGATTTTAGTGACACATATCGCATTAAACATGTGCATAACTAATTGCTGTATAAAGAACTTTGATCGTTGAAATAATATGATTAACATATGGAGATAGCCCTCGCCCTTTCGCATCGGTAACGACATGAAAGTGAAACTGTCTGTCTGTCTGTAACACTGACTACTTCCTCTACACATTCGTACTGCATTAAGCAACATTATAGTCTAATTTTGATTGCTTTAATGTATAATTTATCAAAAAGATGGCGGAGTATAGAGCCCTCTTAATAGAAAATTAAAAGGACATCTTGAATTTTCAGTGTGTAGTGCAGAGAGTATTTAGTTATAATAACTTATAACGAAATTTATTCGTAAAGCATTTAGTAGATGATTGCGTTACGTTCATGTGCAATAAATAAACAACTGATTAACATTTGTTAATATTTAACATGACAATAACTTTGTTCACACACAACACAATTCAAACTTCAAACTTTACTTAACCTATTCATGTTATCATCACAACTCTAAAAACCTAAAATACACTTTTGCTATAAATATTATAACTATAGGCTGCAAGAGACAGAATTTTGTAAAACTGTACATATTTGGTTGTGTATGTGAATCTATAAGATTGTTTAACTGTTCTATGTTCAGAATAATAGAATGTATCAAGTCTTTGATGTTTTAATTCATTGTCTTTATTGTTCTGCTGTAACGGATGCGGCCAATGAACACCGACCACAGAGCAGACATGCAGAGGGAACAGTGCCACTCGGCCGGTTCTGGACACACTAACGGTGCTCTGTGGTTTACTCCTACTTACCGGGAATCTGGTGCACTGCAACAAACCTCATTTATAGAGTTATAAATACAGTCTCGATTCTATTAAGTACTTACTTTTATTTAACTATTATACTAAATGAATGAAATTTGTCATTTTCGATAATTACATGTGTTTTTGTGTGTTTTATAATTTAAATCATACTAATATAAGTTTATATAACGTTTTTATGTTTGTTGTTACAGTTTGCAATTGATTGGAGAATGTGCCTTGACTTCTGACTGGTGAGATTATATTTTGTAATAATAAATAAAATATATTATGTTACAATATGATCATTATTACTAATTGTGTGAGTTAAACTCAGTTGTTTACGATGTTTCCAACATTGTTAAATTTGATTTTACGACAAAAATTATCTCCAACGTTTTATGTTCCAATAAAATCGTTTTAAAGACAAGAAAACATGGCACTCGATCGATCTGTCCTTGATTGATTGCGTCGCCGATTTATGTTGATTGCTATTTTATGGAGATCGTATTGATAATGTGGCGATATGTTAACAATCGGCGAGACTTGCAGCGGCGATAGCCTTACGAGAGCTTGGATTATAATCTTTTTGCTGCAGTTACGTCCCGTTATAAAGATTCAGACGATAATGTTAAACATTCTTTTCTGATCATTATTATTAACTATGAAATTTTTTAAATTGTAATAAAGTAAAATATTTTAAATAAAATTTGCACATTACATAGTTGTATCATCATGCCAGAAATTACCATTGCAGTTGTGCAGTTTATATGTACGACCGGGCACCGGACAGGGTACCGGCTGCCCTCCGGACCTATTAGGGCGGCATGATGTGGATTGTTCACTTTGCTCTCTATACTGCCTGCATAATGCGGATTACTGCTCAGGGTTGTCACATAGTTTTTATTTGGGCCGAATTCGTAATAACTAGTTTCATGTTAAATAATTTGACGTACATGTTCGTCTGTTCAATAAGTCATATTTTTGGCACATCATTGGCGCGTAATAAGTAAGCGGTGTAAAGACTCGTATTTGGGTCATTAGAGCAACAATTTGCGTGCGCGAGGGGGCACAATGGTACCAATTTCAATTAGGCCCATTGTCCGGTTCCTGGCGACATGTTTACGAGATAATAAGCCGTCGCGAGGCAAGTTATATGTCTTCCGCTGAATCCTGAGAGAGGCAGGATGTACACTACTAAATGTATTTAGTTCGAAGCCAATTGAAAAGGAAGGCGTCAATTCAATTTTCAAAGAGATAAGTAACTACATGCGAATAATGCACAAATAAAATATCATCTCGTTCGTAACTACAAAGTGATAAGGATATATTGATTCACCAAAGCATTGTTAAAAATCATCTTTACATCGACCGCGCGACTCGCCTCTTCCGATGTTAGTTGCCGATGCATTAAGTGTCTATGATAGTGGATTGTTTCACGCTAATCTTGGAGCGCCGCCTTCTGAACTTTACCACCATTCTCCGTAAGTAAGAAAAGTTTGCCAACCGGATTCTAACATAATAAAATTAATGTTGATATTAATTAATCATAAATTTAGATCATATGAATATATGTTAATTGATATAAACTGAGCTGTTAATCCGCTGTTAGCGATATGTTGCGCCACTGAGCGCGATCAACAACACTTCGACGTAGAGTTGTCGAGGTGTCAATGGGACCTTTCCACGCGGTTTCAGTGACGAAAGTTGTTGTCTTTGAAAGTGATCATGACTTGTTCTAGTTGCAGTTGATCCAGATTATAAAGTTTTAAATACGAGGACAACAATTACTACTTACATTTACTTCAATTGACAAAGGTTCGTTTTACGGTAGTTGTGATTACTTCTGAAGTTAGTAAGAAATAATAATGTTTTATAAATTATCTTAAATATAGGGCCATAAGGGCCAGCGTCTCTGTCCATCTGCTAATCTATCACCTTAACAGTAAGGCTGCGAAAGTAAGTCATTGAGTTGCGCCGAAATCAGCGGTTCACTTTCACGATTCGCAGCCGGAAAGCGGAACCAACACGACGCGACTGTTACGTGACGCAGGAAATCCGATGTGTGCCTTACTGACTGCCAGCGGCAGCTGGTGGAACCGGACCACTGGCCTAAAGTAACTGTTACAACTTGACGCGTAACATGCGGTGCCTTTTTATTGTTTATATTTACATATTTGCCGGAACGTAACGGAAGGGTTATAAAATTTGAATATACTTTGCACTGCAGAGTTACAATATCTTTGATGATTTTCACTTGTGCTAATGATAATTCTTTGGCCGACTTGAATACTAATGCTAATGATAATTGAGAGGAGTGTTAGTTCATGGCCAGTTGGTGACAGATTTAGCGCCCTTGCTGTGTCCCAGCGCGCCTCTCACACGATTGATAAACGATCAACATTATAACAAATCAATGGAATGTATCCGCTGCATTCAATGTCGATCATTTACATAATGTATGCAGCCTTTTTATTATTGAGACGTGATAGTTTAAAGGTTACGAGTTCAACGTGTGACAACATAATCTATAAATACATAGAGAATTTTATAAGACAGTTTCTAATTATTCAAATAGTTTCATGTAAGCCTTTATCAAATAGATATTCAATATTTACGAAATATCATAGAAAAACTTAATATACTATGTTTTCTCCTTGATTTTAAGATGTAAAGATTTTATACGTTCTTTGTCTGTCAATTTTATAACATTGCCTCGTTAATATTTTTAATGGTGGACAGTTATTTTGGGCACAAACAGGGACAAAGGAAAACTTGCTGTTTCAGGAAATGTTTGACGACAGAACAAAAACAAAAATAGTTTAACGATCGCTCGTAAATATATTAATATTTAAGAAGCGTCTTGTTTAGAAAACCACCACATTCTTACATTTATTGTGCTACTAAAGTATGTAATAAGACTAACTATTTAGAAAACAAAAATATAACCTAAAATCACATGCACCAATGCAACTTGCTTGGCGATTAGGATATAAGTTGTGAACTTCTCGTACTATTGATAGCGACTAAAATGTCATGCATTATGTATTACTTAAGAACATATCAACAAATTAAAATTAGAAAGAACCGGTTTCAATAATATCGTTAAAAACGTGATCGGTCACGTTTTACCCTTACAGACTTTTTATTCGACTTCTTTATAACAAGGCAAGTAAGACATGCATTAAAGTTTGCTTTAATGGTCTGTTGATGCCCTTTGATTGGACAATATAGACCTGATTCACAGGTGGGTCGTTCGGATTATTGGCGTACAATACCGCATTTTTTTTTAAATAAAGAGTAAATTGAACTATAGCATCGACAAAACAAAACAGATTAAATAAAAGCATCATCGTCACTTCCGCTGCTTCAAGCTCTCCAGCTGACGGCTTATCTCGCTAATAACAATGTGAGCCAATTAAAACCTCCGACGTCTCTGTTGCTTAAAGCCGGCATCCGATTATCTCCTGCTCTCTTTATATTCTGCGACAATATGCAGCAAAACTGACAACGTAACTATAAATTATTTCTTTCGTACTTTTCTTGATTTTGTTCAAATTTGTTTAACTACATCTGTCTAGTCTTGTTTCTTAAAATAAGTATAACTAAGCTTTACGTAACTCAAATACTTAGCTGTAACATGCATTGCATCCACTAATCTCGATAATGTTTGGATATTATAGCTTTTGCTTCTTTCCGATTTAAACGCGCCTATTAATGTTATGTGACAGTTAATTCTATCTACATTACCGATACCATCAGGGACAAAATGGAGCAAATTAAATAGACACAAAATACAACGTCTAATAGCCAGTCCTTTAATGCAATTCAGTGATTGCATCCAATATAATGGTGTTTTTAGTACTCGGTTTAAGTTCACAATTGTCAGTCTTCGCTGTCGATACATCAAGCACATGACACGGTCTTAATAAACAAGTGCCTGCGTAGGACTGGGAGGAAGGGACCGTCAGATACAATCTATATTCAGAACTCCCCTGGTCCTGCTCGTCTGCTCTGACAGCAATGTTTGTTTACACTGTACACAACACGAAGTTAACACGGTGTTTAAATTTGACACACTGAAACAATTTGTATAAAGTCACTGTATCGACACGTATTAAAATAGATTTGGTGCAGATGTTAATGCTCACTGTATCCTTTACTAGTTACAGTTATTATTTAAAGAGTTTATTCTATAAATTTAGTTTCAAAACCAGATATAATATTTACGGTATCTGCTAAGATGCAAATGTAGCAAATACTTTTGCATTTATTAGCATATAAAAACATTCTTATAAAATCATTTTTAAATATATTATTAAAGAAAGTTAAAGTAAATGATAATGAAATAAATAAATCAAAGTATAATTACTTAGAAAGTGTTTTTGTGATATCAAGTTTTGATTTAATTCAAGTTTTCATAAAAAAAAGTTTATTATCTTTCTATGATATTTATTTTAATTCTATTCATATATAAATAATATAATCATAAAACTAACATTTTGATGTCATTAATGTTAAAATTAAAAAATAAACTATGAATACTAAGTTGTAACAGGACATGATAGTTTGTGTCGGCTGTATTTTGTGTATAACGGTGCATGCCGGGGGTCGGCGTTAGTATGCGACGGTGTGTCCGGTGTCGTCATCTCAGCATATCACTGGCACATCGGAGGCGGAGCGAGGCCCATGCTAACGCTGTTGTTGGTGTCATATATGGGGCAATAGAATACCCCATAAACACAGAACTTATGCGAAAAACTTTTACGATAAGTTTTATATTAAGTTCCAAATGTATTGGAAGCTATAGATTACTTAGGAAACTTATATTACTTATATAGGAAACTTATTGAGCGGAAAGCGTTCTTTAAAATACACAATAAATTACCTTTTTTAACGTGTGTTTAATACATAATATTGTTAGCCATACTTTAAAAGATATTGTAAACACTGTGCTATATACAAAGTTATATAATGGTACATAATCAGCTGCAATTTATGTAGCAGTTATGTCGCGCAGCCGGCGTGACCCGGTGAAGGTTGTCGCTAATGT